ACACGTTTGCTATTACGGGCGCCGACACAGCTACTGGTGCAGGGTTAGATATTTCGTACTCGGCAAGTTACAGCTACCCCCTGTACTGCGGTAGCTCCGCAGTGTACGCCCCCGAAGGCAATCTAACGCTGCGTGCGGATCTCAATCAGAGCCTAAGTCGCGAGGTCCACGGCAGCTCCGTCTTCCCCACCGGCCTCGAGGCCTTCCTCACTGGCGAAACGCCGAAGTTCCAGGGTTCGGTGCTTAGCACGTCGCGGAACGGGACGGCGACATACTACAGGCCGGCCGATAACAGCTACAGCACGGGAGCCGGCCGGACGCACCAGATCTTCTCCTTTGGGGGATTGAGTGAGGAAGGAGGCGATGACGGCACACCAAATGCTACAGAGTTTTACTACCGTGAGGTGAGCGCGTATAACGATACCGTTACCGACAACTTGGTGGTGTTGAATGGCCAAGTGGTAAGCAATGAAACCCAGGCATAAGGGGTCATTGGTCTACAAATTTTGTTAATTAGGTATATATACGTGGAGGCAGGGAATTTCGAATACTTAGTACATATAGATTAATTATGTATGGAATGCTTATGATCTACAAACGTGAGTAGAGTTGAGTATCTTAAGTGCCCATCCCCCTGAGGTATCTAGATACCTAGGTAGTGGTAATATATGCGGATATCGGATATTTAAATGGACGGGTCAATTCAATACCACACTATTGTCAAATCTGACTTTTTATTTGACTTTTTCTTGTCAAATCCGAATAATCTCAAAAATAATCTCAAAGAGTCAACCTCCTACAACTAATTCAATCCACTATCAAAAACGACAAGCCAGCTCCATATATTAACTCTCGTTTGTTCTCTAGATCTCACTTTTATTCCTGAACCTTTGTGTTATATACAATGGAGGAAGACAGGGCCCAGACGGATCTGGGTATCGCTGCAGATATCGAAGAGGCCCATGCGCCACCCCAACCACCCCAACAAGTCCAGAAGCAGCCCAAGAAGAGGTTCGTAGGGCGAAGAACCGCTGCAGGTGCTGCGAAGAATGGTGGCGGTGGTGCCTCCATCGAAGAAAGCGGGGCTATTCAGGGTAAGTAAAAGGCTGTATTAGGTACCAAGGCCCAGTAAGGTAACTAACGATGAGCATCAGTATCACAGCCAAGGCGGGCGCCGAGGTTACTAAACCAAGTACCTCCGGAGATCTTGAATGACCCGGAGCTCAAAGATGCGATCGGGCTGTTGCCCGCGAACTACTCTTTTGAGATTCACAAGACCGTCCATCGCATCCGGTCTTCGGGCGCGAAAAGGGTCGCGCTGCAGATGCCCGAGGGTCTGTTGATGTTCGCCACCACCATCTCGGACATCCTGACGCAGTTCTGCCCTGGAATCGAAACTCTGATCATGGGCGATGTTACGTATGGGGCTTGCTGCATCGATGATTATACCGCGCGTGCGCTGGGCTGCGATCTCCTTGTTCATTATGCTCACAGCTGCCTGATCCCGGTAGACGTCACCAAGATAAAGGTGCTGTATGTCTTTGTCGATATTAGCATTGACACATCGCATCTTCTGGCCACCATGGAGAGGAATTTTGCGCCGCCCAAGACGATTGCAATAGTAGGGACCATCCAGTTCAACGCTACTATCCATGGGACTCGGTCGACTCTGGAAAAGGCCGGCTTCAAGGTGCTAATCCCGCAAATCGCGCCCCTATCTAAGGGCGAGATCCTGGGATGTACCTCCCCGCGCCTATCCGACTCGGAAAATGTTGATCTCATCCTTTATCTGGGGGACGGCCGGTTCCATCTGGAGAGCATCATGATCCACAATCCGGCCATCCCAGCGTACCGGTATGACCCGTACTCGAGGAAACTCACGCGCGAGACGTACGGCCACGAGGAAATGCAGAGCCTGCGAAGAGACGCCATCGCGACGGCGAAGAGGGCCAAGAGATGGGGACTGATCCTGGGCTCGCTGGGCCGCCAGGGCAACCCCCACACGATGGCCCTGATCGAGAACAAACTCAAGGACATGGGAATTCCGTGGGTCAATCTGCTACTTAGCGAGATATTCCCGGGGAAGCTGGCCATGATGAGCGATGTGGAGTGCTGGGTTCAAGTGGCGTGCCCGCGACTCAGCATCGACTGGGGCTACGCGTTCCCGCGGCCCTTGCTGACGCCGTACGAGGCGCTCGTCGCGCTCAATGAAAGGCAGGATTGGAGCAAGACTACTGGCGTGTATCCGATGGATTACTACGCGAGAGAGGGGTTGGGCAGGACGAAGGATATCGAGGTTTCTTCATAAATTTATCCTAGGACACCAAAAGCTAGCTGACCTATGTCTAAGAGTAACAGGCATTTTGAAGATCATACTCCCATATATCCTTGGCATACCAGCGAATTACTTATTCTTTGCATTCCGTGAAAAGGAGGTGAGAACTATGCATTTCATATTAGTAGGCCTGTGGCAGCAAGTGTGTCAACTGGGTTTTCGATAAGTCGAAGAGTTGTTAATAACGAGTGATCACAGCGTATCTCATAACAGTGGTTTCTTCTTTCTGCTTATACATATACATAAGCTTTATCACGTTATATCGGAGGAAATAGTTGAATGGATGGACAAAGGAATTATATTACTTACCTGTTACTTACCTATTACTGAGGCACTCTACTAGTACCCTCTAGCTGTGTGTTTTTCTTCTTCTTCTTCTTTTCTTTTGGGGTTTAACTTGGTGGTAATCCACTTACAGTACCTGCCTACAGAGATATGAAAACACCACCCTGACTTCTTCAAGAAGCCGTTCTGTTAAGTTTTGGTGACCTCGAGAGCTAGCACGCTTAGCCCCGCCCCTTTTCAAATGCTCGTTGGATTAAATCCAATTATTCATTGCGCTGGAGAGACTTGAGGAAACCCAAGCCACCTTGGCTGCGAATGTAGTTGAAAATCCTAAGGACAATCGCGCACCGCCTCAGTGCTTCTTCATGATCAATGGGAAGCGCCAAACGCGTCCACGGGACCAACTTGCAATCGTCAAGTTCCAGCCGTGTCAAGAGCTTGCTTGCGAAAGACAGCACGGGCCAATTGATAGTAAATGTATCGGTCTCTATTTGTTTTGCCACAGCACGTGGGGAAAATGAGTCAGGATCGGTTGTTTTAAAGTGAAAGTGCTGAACAGCCAATGGAGTGGGCGGAGCTAGATATGGCCAGTTCAGTTGGGCCATCTGGTTCTCGTAAATGGCGTAGAAGTCCAAGACTTCGGGTAATTGGAGAACATGCCAGCGGACGGTCTGTGGCAAGGTGATGAATACGCTGTCCTTGAGGTATTCGGCGAGCTCCTCGAGGCTAGCGGGTTCTTTTCCGCCGCTGGCTATGTCTCGCTGTACCTTCTTTTCGGCCTCTGAGCGTGGCATTTCAGTTTGAAGGATACCCCGTAACAACATCCCGTTGATATTCCCTCGAAGGGTTTTGATGCTCTCGCAGACGCGGTTGAACTCGACGGGGGTAGCAATGGCCTCAAGATGGGGGGATCCACGGACCTTTGCGACGAAATCCCTGAGAACGTCTAGTTCATCCGATAAGGAATCCCACTCCCTTCCCTCTGTGGGTATTATTTCGTTGAAGGCAATACTGATCTGGCGATCAATATCAATAGAATCAGAGTTCGTGTACGACATAGTGATATTAGATATGTTTACGGTTGATGATTCGAATATTTTACCTATTGGATAAAACGTTGATACTTGGAGGATCTAATATGAACTAGATCGTTGGTTTGTACTGTTCGTGATGTTTGTGATATGGAGGAATTGGTGAACGTAGGCCGGGGCGTCGCGGTATTTTATACCCATCTCTAACAACCATAAGATGCCTCCCATCACGAATAAGGATGTCTGTTTTCAAACGATATATGTTTTAGGACAGTGGAGAGCGTTTCCTAATAGACAGGAGACGTTGGTGGTGGGAACGCGGACTCTCGTTGACCCCTGACGAACCCCTGACGACGACGACGACGACGAAGAAGAAGAAGAAGATGATGATGATGATATTTCTATTAACCTCCCCAATAGGGGGCTATATATAACATATATAGGTAGCTATTCCTAACACACTAATTATCGAAGGGTCCTAGGGGCGTGCCAAGACTAGGACCTCCTAATAGGCAAATACTCTGCTAGGACATATGCTTTACAGAGTACCTAATGCCAAGTTATAAACCGACCCACCTTAGTAACTCAACGCCCTCTGGCTACGTCGGAAGTTCGCAAATAGTGTGCACTACTACTACATCTCCGATGTCCGCCTAGGTATCTACCAGGGTGCTCGAATCTGGTACTCAGTGTCGACTTGAGCTCCTCCGATGAGCAATTAGTGCCATAGTCCTCCTAAGAGAAAAGGAAGTTTATGCTAGAGCCGTTTTATCTATGTACGAATACCCGTGTCCATAGTCCCTCTTTCCAACCCCTGAGCGGTAGACAAGTGATACTACTAGACATAGCTATCCGGCTAGCTCTCCACGAGGGAGAATTGGTATTAGTAGGCACATAATAGGACTATGACACATACGTAATCTATCCTAGGTCTACTTAAACACCTAAGGTGAGAGCTCAAGTAGCGCCCGCATATGGGGACGAATAGATTTGTATTGCTCTACGGTTTAGAAGTCCACTTAGCGGAACCAACCCCGGACCAAATACCGTGTGAAGAACAATGGCCTTTGTCCCGATTGGATAATTACATTCATCTCCTAGCTTTCTCTCCACCAACACAGCCTTTTAGCATTGGCCAAAGAACCTCGTCGTTCCTTAGATCACCCCGGCCGGTAGTACTAGATTAAGTATGACCAGACATAGCGAGAGCAGGGTATATTTGCTACCGGATATTATGTCGGGGGAGAGTACCTACCTTACCTACCCGCTTTAAAGCAAATCAAAGACAATCAATCAACCCCAGAACTCATCAACTACAAGACAGAAAAATTACCAAAAAGTCAAAGCCATGGGCCCGCGAGGAATCGAACCTCGGACCTCTCGCCAGCCAGCATACTATGCGAGCATTCTACCACTTGAACCACGAGCCCCTCATAGCTCGATCGGTCCGCCAAGCACCGATCGCTTGTTAGAACTGAAGTGTAACCAGTATTATTAGTCTTAGGATGTTTGTATGGGTGTTTGTATGGTTTGTATATATAGGTATGTATATGCTACGACGCCTATGCCAATAGTAGCAAGCGGGCGTACTGCTACGGTACCAAGAAGTGCTGTTATCCAATGCAGGCAACCTCTCCTAGTCACCGCAGCACCCGCCGCGACCACCGGCATAGCAGGAGCGCCGTCGCTTTGATGAGTATTATCATTACCACCATCCCTATCCCCATCTACATCTACACCATCCTCGCCATCAGCACACCCGCACGCGTCCGCCTACGACGTCGCGGTGTCGTTGATGCTGAAGACGTAGCTGGCCTGAAGGACGTAGGGGTCGCCGCCGGGGCCGAAGACCTGCTTGGACTCGCGCTGCCACTCGGGGTGGTTGATGGCGTCGATCCAGTCCTCGACCTCCATGACGACGCAGCCGTACTGGGGGATGGTGCGCGGGAAATCCGCGTCGTCGTGCAGGCCCTGGCTCGTCTTGAGCGGCATCGTCGCGTTCTGTCCGTTGCACGAGTACATCTGGAACGCCTCCTGGTCCGTGTACACGTCCACCTGGATCCCCGACCACGCCGACTGCAGCCGCGCCACGAAGCCGCCCTCCGCGCGCCAGTCGTACGGGCCTTCTTGCCCGCGGTTGACGATCCAGCAGGTGTCTAGCAAACTTGGGTTAGCATTCCCATTCTCTCCAATAGTGAAAATTTGGGGATTTACCATAACCGGTACAGTTGAAACCGCAGTTGCCCTCCGCTTCCGCCTTCTGCAGGTCGGTTCCGATCTGCTTCGGCGCACTCCAGAAGTCATTAACGGATCCCTGCTTGTTGGCCACGATGTCACCCGTGGGGATCAGGATGTTGTCGACGCCGACGCGCTGGCCGCTGTAGGGCAGGTAGAAGGTGTGGTTCAAGGCCGTGTTAGTCTCGTTGTTGGCAAAGCCGTCCAGGTTCCAGTACGTGTGACTGCTAAGCATGATGGGCGTCTTCTTGGTAGTGGCGATAGCAACCATCTTGAAGTCCCACGTGGTGTCGTGGAGTGTATAAGTGATGTAGGAGATAACCTCTCCGGGGAAGCCTTGCTCGCCGTCGGAGTCGACGATGGAGAACGTTATACTGTCATTGGCGTGAGAGACAACAGTGAAATTTCGGTAGTCCCAGCCATCGTGGCCACCATGTAAAGTGTCAGCACCATCAGGAGCCTCCGGGGTGGGGTTCTCGTTAGCATTGACGTGATAGGTCTCGCCGTCAATCTCAAAGGTGCTGTTCTGGATGCGGTTGGCATATCGACCTGGTACACCGCCGAGATGAGGATGAGCCGGGTCCAGCGAGTAAGCCGTGGCGTTGTCAAAGCCGGCCACAATATCTCTTTCCACACCGTACTTGTCGTGAATTAACAGCTTCGCGATGGACGCGCCGTAAGGGATGAAGGCGGCGGTGAGACCCTCGCTGTAAATCCAGTAGAAGCCATTATCATCCGGACCAAGGCTGCTCGACACATTGCTGCTTCCCGTGCCGCCAGGTGACTGTGCGGAAGCAAATGGGAGCAAGAGAGCTCCTAACGAAGCTATACTCGTGTGTAGACGCATGTTGACTCGAGAGTGAGACAGGTTTTGTTTGTTGACATGCAGCCTCAACTTGCTTTGTGCTCGTCTCAATTGACGGTGGGAGAGAAGACGAAGTAAAAGGATGCAACGCGGGAGAAAGGATTCGCGACTTATATGAATTCAGTCATCAAAGAACCACAAACCACCCTCGTCCGGAGAAACCTGATTTGGTTGGACAATGGGAATCGCGTAGGCACTCATCACGTTGACCAAATTTTTGGCAGGGGAGACGGCTAGGGAATTTATTAATCTCACCTAACATTTGCATTTGAACCATTTGAACCCAGCAAGCCCCGGCCGATCCCCAGCTTACGGTCTTCAGGGCTACATGTACCCTGTCGAGCTACTCCGCTTTCTTGGAAAAGTTGGGGTAAACGACGTAACTGACAGGTAGCGTTGCATCGGCCTCATCAAAGCCATGTGGTGCAACAGCCCGAATTCAGCAGGTCGTTACTACATATGTTCTGTACATAGTATGTAGGTTGGTAATAACCTAGAGAGTAGGTAAGGCGTGATTCGTCCGTTGTCCTAGAATTGCTACTGTTATTTGACCATCCCTACCTAACCAATTCTACAGACATCTCATGTTTGCGGGTTACAATGCAGAGACACACCAGTACCTCTATGTACTACCCCTCTAAACCCACGGGAACGGATCGCTGCCGTAGAAGGCTGAATTGGTGGTATGAGGTAGGGTACCTAATTTCGCGGAATTGTCACCAATGACGCGAAGAAGCGGTATACCTAGGTGTGCCGGCTCTATGCTGTGTCACTGAGGGGCTTCAATGTTATTGAACCTAGCAGCCTAGGAATAATGTTACGAGAACGAGAAGGATTCCCCCGAAAGAATTAAGCAACGCAAGCAGATTAGGGTTGATCATGCCCCCGTCGGTGCCGCAAAGCCGCCTAATCCTCGAATTAAGCTAAAAACGACTCCATTTCTTTGTTTTAGCACACACGACAAGGACATAGAAATGCTAAGACTCAAACTCGACCTCGAAGACTACTTTCAAGTCGGCACGATGATTCCCCACTGGGGAATTTGGAGATAGGTACCTACCTACCTCTCCCAATGACGTTAGGGGCTGCAACGTGAAGCTGAAAGATGTTCCGTGGAACCCCAACCTCCCCTACCAAGGAATTGCTCATGTGCCTTGCAGATTGAGATTCCTCTCGCCAGTCAGCAGTCCGGTCGTGGACAGGTTATAAAGCTTATTGTCCACGGATGCCAGCGGCATATTGCAAATGAAGTATATGCTCGTGAACAAAGAAATCTTCGAATCACTTGACCCAGATGCTTCGGTACGTAAGAGCCACTGACGTCGCCGAACTGCTGCTGACTTCCCCTTACCTACTCCCACTGCTCCCAGCAGAGGAGAAAGAAGAGGAGATGAGCAGCATAATTGGTGCGGGAAAAGCAATCTCGTAATCGGATGCTGGCCACGTGAATGGTGGATTTTGAACTGTGCCCAAGTAAGGATTATTTCATTATTTCATGGCCCGAATTCCCCATGCTGAAGTTCTTTTTGGGGGTTCCACAATGCGGGGTTAATGTTACCTGACTTGCTCTCTTTGGGTAAGGCGAGAGAGCCTAATTTGCTGTACCGTGATCCTTCTTGGCTTTCCCCGCGCTCTGCCGTCTCTCTTGTTTGTATTCTTCGAGGTATGTTCAGGGATACTGGCTTATAATGAGTAGGAACTTCAGTTCAGTTCTTGGATTAATTAACTGAGCAACTACTTCTTAGGTTATTTGAAGCTTGCGACTTTGTTATGCGTGAGCTAGATGCCTACATAAGTTCTAGGGATTAGATATAGGCTCCTGACACAGATATCCCTTACTCAGACCCCAGTGAAGTCGAGCCTCGCCTCGTACTTAGTGCGGAGAGGAGATCTCCGGAGGACGCGGAGATATACGGAATTAGCGGGGCGTGTTCACTATGTATTTCGCCGAAGTCTAACCTATTATTTAGTAGCAAGCACCGTATGAGCACATGAGGACCGGATTACCCAGTCCCGACCTACTGTTCCCGAGTACCGAGCAATACCAGCTCGAAATCAGAATTCTAGGCGACCCGGAGTCATGCTCAACGCTCACTTATCTGAATTATGGTGGCTCAGGCTTAAGTTCCTATAATCTTAGGAATATGGCTATGTTTAGTCACCTATGACAAGTGGCTAATTTTGAACTAGCCAGCTCATACTTGGTGCTATGCTGAAGAATTTCTAACTTCGTAGAAATGGAGCTGATGTCTCATGTTCCGATATTTCATATACTAGGACTCGCACATTGTAAAACAACACTAAACTTAATAACAGGTTCTTCCACGGCGACCAACACGTTCAATGAGACAATCATTGTATTGAATGCTGATTATAAGAGACCTGTACTCCGCCAAGTGGGACAACTAACCTATACACACGCCCACACATCTGTCACGTACTTGCCCTCATCATCGTCCTCGTTTGTTTATACCGGTTATACGTCGACAAGGTTCTCCTCCTCAGGCTGGCCATCCGTGTCCTTCACACCCTTATCGTTCTTCTCCTTGCCCTTACCCTTTCGGTCCGAAGCGGATCGTTGGTAGAACTCTTGGATGATCTTGGATGGGATACGGTTGAGCAGTTCCTTAGGGAAGATACGTAGGAGACTCCATGCGATGTCCAGCGAGTCGAAGATACTTCGCTGCTCGTATGCGCCCTGGGTGACGAATTGTCGTTCGAACTTCTCCAAGAATTCTAGGGATAGCTTGTCTTCGGCAGACAAGGCCTCCTCACCGACGACAGCCTTCATGGCTGCGGCGTCACGACCAATGGCGTATTTGGCGTAAAGCTGGTTGGATACGTCACCGTGGTCCTTTCGGGTCATGCCCTCACCAATGGCAGATTTCATGAGACGAGATAGGGACGGCAACACGTTGATCGGCGGGTAGATACCACGGTTGTAGAGCTGACGGTCAACGAAGATCTGACCCTCAGTGATGTAGCCCGTCAGATCGGGGATAGGGTGGGTGATATCGTCGTTCGGCATAGTCAAGATAGGGATCTGGGTGATGGAACCGTTTCGTCCCTCGACACGGCCGGCTCGTTCGTAGATGGTAGACAAATCAGTGTACATGTAACCGGGGAAACCACGTCGACCTGGCACTTCTTCTCGAGCGGCGGAGACTTCTCGAAGGGCATCGCAGTACGCGGACAGATCCGTGAGGATGACCAGGACGTGTTTCTCGAGTTGGTAGGCGTAGTACTCGGCGGTGGTAAGAGCGAGACGAGGAGTAATGATACGTTCGATCCTATCGATTGTTAGCCAAGTATTATTAAAGATAGGGGAGC